ACCCCCCTTACGCATATCGTCTTTCATCCAACAATTTCTTCTTAGGTCTACATCTTCCTCTAGGTCTATCGCCTAAAGATATGTTATTAAGTAGGTATCGTTTAATAATTTTATATTGAACTAGCTTTTTCCCGCAACTTCGTCCGCGTGGAATAGTTACTTTGGCATAACGCTAAATTTTACCCGCGACTTCATTTACGTAGAAGTCGTCGTGGCCTAAAGGATAAGACGTCCGGTGCATTCGTATGTAGCGATGCAACGGTGTTCGAATCCCGCAGGCGGGTACCAATTTTTCTAATGAAATACGTACCTAACAAATGTTTACGATTGACTTCCACGGTGAAGGAATAACGTCGTGTAATAAAAATCTAATCGACAAAATTATCATTTGAGTAATTAGTGGTGGTAGGACGTGTTGTGAGTCCGCACGGGTAGGTACCACCGCCCTGCCTATTACTGCCGTGAAGCAGTAAAGAAGGGCGGGGCAGCCGTTGTAACTATGACCTTAGAACTCATATCTCAAGGTGGGTGGCGTCATTTACGTTTTAGTTGTCTATGGACTCCAGTAACTTAACACCAGTTGGGCTGTGCGTTCGTCCACCTATCTATGCAATAAAAAAATCAAAAAATCTTTACAGACCACATTCCCCATGAATATAATTTGGGGGGTGAAAGGGGTGGTCAAGCGACATTTCGCTTAGCACGCGACATTTATCTTTGTAATTAAAGGTCCTTTAAAGTTGATATCAGCATCAACAGTTCGATGTATTTAATTGAACTTCAATTAATTTATAATATAATATAATAATGATATTTTTTTTTCCAAAATTTAAACTTTATATGGCTCTCCTGTGTTTTTGCAAAAATGTCGCTTGAAAAAGAAACAGCCTTCCACCCCTCCATATTTTTATGTAGAATTAATCTACGTCTGTCTGTATTCTTTAAAAAAGCGGCCACGAATGGAGTTCGCGATTAATTGTTTTAATATAAAAAAAAGTATTGCCACTCCACGCCATCCTAATTCCGACTCGTAAAAAAAATACGTATATCATCCGCTTGTTGTAGCTATGCTTCGAAATCGCTTGTCATAGTTTTTAGACTAATGTGGTATTAATTATGAGAGGGATTTCATTGAATTTAGTTAATAAATCAGTTTAAAAATTACTGATTTATATTTTAAGATGAAAATCCTTGTATCTTTTTCTTTTTTTCTTTTGTATTGCTTAGATGGATGAACGAGCTCACAGCCCACCTGATGTTAAGTGGTTACTGGAGCCCATAGACAACTACAACGTAAATGCGCCACCCACCTTGAGATATAAGTTCTAAGGTCTCAGTATAGTTACAACGGCTGCCCCACCCTTCAAACTGAAACGCATTAATGCTTCACGGCAGAAATAGGCAGGGCGGTGGCACCTACCCGTACGTACTCACAAGAGGTCCTACCACCAGTAAAAAAAATTCTTTTTGTATGTCATTATCGCAAAATCTTCACCAACGATAATATAATACTTATTGGAAATTTTTGTTTTATTTTACTAGCATCATGGGCAAACGTACGGCCCAACTCATATCTCAAGGTCTATGGGCTCCGGTAACCACTTAGCTCGTCCACTCATCTATGCAATAATAATAATGAAAAAAAAAACTCATAGTTAATCGCGATCGCTCAAAGACATCAGCAGAGGCACAACTAAGCCGCTGCCCACTGTCCGTGAGCTTTGGAAAAGTAAAAAAATATATAAATTATTATGCATACTATGGTTTCAAAAGCTATAAATTTTAATATTAAAAAAAAAAAAAACATTTCCGCTCTATCAGCGATGTTGTTCTAAGAAAGCTGACACGTTGCCTCGCTTCTGCGAATTTAAACACACTTATATCATATTTTATTATTGTTTGGTTTGGTTAAGCTATTGTCACATCGAAAATTACTTGTACGAGTATAGATAGATATAACGATACTAGCTGTCCCGACAAACGTTGTATTGCCATATAAATTATTTCGAGGAATGATAAATCTGAATCTAAACCATCCAGGGCGCCAACCAAATGCATACAAAAAAAATTGTCTCTGTTAAAAATAATAATTTGTGGCTATCGTAGAACACAAGATAATTGTCACATGCCTGAATCGCGCTAACGAAATTTTCAAGGTAAGAGTGCATATCGCACGTTTAAACTAAAGTAGTTGTGAGGTCAGCTCACGGGGCTCAAGCCTGACGATGTTGCTAACACGAACCCTAGCAAGAGCAGTGCTTCGCAGAATCTACCACCGGATCGGAAACACGACCCACTGAGAAGATCCGGCCAGAAACTCAGTGGGCTGTGTATGTGGGTTAATTTACTCGCCGAGCCCTTCGTCGCAAGCGACAGGTTCGACGAGGACAGTGACCGGTGCTTGGGATACCTAAAAGCACCGTTAGTGGATCAGGAGGATCCGAAATAACGTGTTTTGGGCGACGTCGACTGTTTATCATTTGGTCCGCAGGATCGGCTATGTAGTTTCCAGCGGCCACGATGAGAGGATTCTCATATCGTACCGCTTTATCGAAGTAAGCGGCGGCGGTCAAGTTCATATCGAAGGTAATGTTTTTTTTTAAATCTTATCCCGGATATATTGAGTTAGGATGGTCCTCTATGGAAAATGGTCGTCACTTTTAAATAAGAAGGAAGCATAAAATCAACAAGTGCAAGGAATAACATTGTAACTGTAATTTTGGCTAAACACCAGGTACAATGTTATTTTTTGCATATATATGTATCGAAATAAATACAAATATTACGTTACAAAAATTCAGAACAACATTATATTTCACTCTCCAATGGTACGGTACGGCCACTTAAGCCTCAGACCATCAGGCTACGTCGGAAATATATGGCCAAGCCACAACGCACCACCCAGGCCCAAGATCCTGCGGTAAGCCCAAAAATAGGGCGGATATGAAGGAGAATAACCTGACCCAGATCGATGCCGAAGACCGGACAAAGTGGAGGAGTTTAAGTAGAGAAATAGACTCTGGTATTAGACCAGGAAAATGCTAGGAAGAAGAAGATGGCCAGTCGGGTGGTAGACTAGAATCTTGTACCAAAAAAAACCCTTTGGTTTTTAATTTTTATGACATTCTGTGGCTCCGGAAACCAGTGTGCTTAGTGTGAACTCAAAATTGTATGGAGTTGAAACAGCTTCCCTACGTTTGCCGCTAGGGGCGCTGTTCTAACTCCATACAAAATTGAGTTAACTTTTACACGATCGAGAACGTTAGAAAACTCGCAATAAGCAATCTGGCCTCCCGACGTGAATACAATTCAATTACCTAACAAATTAGAATCAAATTGCACTGGCACACTAGACTCTCTATCTTCCAACAGAACGAATCGCTTTGAGATTATTCTTTTTATTGCTTGTAGATTGAAGAACGAGTTCATGGTCCACCTGGTGTTAAGTGGTTACCGGAGCCCATAGACATCTACAACGTAGCTGCCGCCACCCATCTTGAGACATGAGTTCAGTTTTTACAGTACAACGGCTGTCCCGCCTTTCAAATCGAAACGCATTACTGCTTCACGACAGAAACAGGCAGGGTGGTGGTACCTACCCGCGGAGACTCAAAACACGCCATATAATATCACCAGTAAAAACTACTTTATTTACAGCAAACGATTTTTAACTATAGCTACACGTAGTGAGGTCTTTTTAAATTTACGTGAATCACCTATTGTTTCATTTCGTTATTATTTTTTATCACAACGAAAACACAGCGACACAATCGAAACTATATATATGTATCTACATTTTTTTTTCTAAGTATCAAAATCGAATCATTTCTCTGAGAGAAAAACATGAAAATCCAAAATGTCGAATTTGATATTTTTCAGCAAAGTTTTTTTTTTTTTCAATGAGAACCCCTCTTCCGTGCCTTGCTTAGGGTCCCAGAAAACACTAATGTGGCTTAAAAAATAAGGTCCTTAAGCTTCGAAACTTCGTGATTTAATTACCCCTGGACTTTAGGGTACTTTTCTGGTTTTTTTTTCGTTTAATCTTTACAACTGAAGTGACGCGAAAATGTAGGTATCTTATCAGAATTTCACACGCCCGGCAAATAATGTTTGACTGATAACACAGCTATACTAGCTATTCGAGAGCTGTATACCTTATTGCATTTCGAAGGATTATTTCATATTTGGTTTTCGGCCTAACTAGAACAGTCTTATTGGACAACTCAAATGCATTGAAGGAAGATTTTTTTTTTCTGTTATGATCAATACCAATTATCGCATAATATTTATTTAAACAGCAAACTTACCACGCTAATTAATCACGTTATTAAATGAAATGAAAAAAAAGAAAAACTTAATACACATCGCATAGTCTCGCAACACTGATACTAACACAAAAAAAAAACAATTAAAAAGGTCAAAAATACGCTTTATAGATAGACACGAGCGCTCACACAGTTCAAACTTGGCGTAATATCTTCGTTGATACGTTTGGGTGTTCCAAAAATAGTGGGACGCAGCCGCAGGCCCCCAACAAGACAACGCGGCCAAGGAACTTGAATCACGAAAAAAAAAACGCAAATATTTATTTAGACACGCGCTAACATGAAAAACGACTCGTGAAAAATTATGTTTTATGATAACAAACTCACTCTGAACACACTAGAGCGCACTAGTGCAATTAGAATTAAACATTTTCTCAGCGTGTGTTAAAAGAAAACAAAAATCAATAATTTTTATAGTACACTCGCACACTAAATACACATTTTTTTGTTCATATCTTTTTCCATAAGACATCGACTTTCTCTCTCGCACGTACGTTTAAAAATGAAAAATCTATAAAGAGAAAAACGAAAGAGCGAGACGAACGTAGAGTCGTTTTGTAAATAAATGACACCGACGAATCATAACAAACGAGCGAGACAGATGATTCGTTTCACGAATACACTCCAAATTACGTAATTAATTGTTGTTTGGATTTAATCGAACCTTGTACTCACCCGTAAATTGCGAACACTTCACTTTTGGATAGCACTTTTGTGTTATTTAACGTTTTTTTTAAGTCATTTCGCCTGTTTTAGTTTGTGCGCGGACACCCGTATTAATGACGCCATTTGCAAGTGCGGGCGACTGAACCAATCTGAACACTGAAATTGATTTGTGACTCGATTCAGACGAGTTTTCCGATACAATTGCCAATGTGAAAATACTGATATTATTATACTATGTTGTACGCGTGGTTTTGCTTTTATTTTTTTAATGTTCAGTTTTTTAATGCACGATTACAGAGCATACAAAGTAAAATGTACGACCGAAAAAAAACTTGAATAATATAAAATACAGAAGTGCGGAAATTACTCATTAATATTATGTTATAATATTAAAAAAATATAACATGCATTTAGTTAATTATATATATAAAACAACGTTGTTAGTTTCATTTCATAAAATGTTTGTTTAAATTGACAATAAGTGATGTAAGACTTGAAAAATATAAAAGTAACAATAAAATGGGTAGACTAAAAAGCTCAATAATAATTCTAATAATTGATATTTGACATTGCGATTTTGCTTGTGGCAAATTAATGGAATTTTAATTTAAAAGAATGTAAATAGTTTATAGGTTATGCTTTAAGCTTATGAACTGTAAAGTATATCTTGAAAATCTAGTATGTAAGCTGTTGTGGTATCTTTAAGCTGAAGTTACAGCAGATAAACGATGATTGAGTCTATTGTCTAAATAATCTAAGCAATGGTTAAATTAATTTGAATTTGACATAATCGATTCTCTAAAATCTAAAGTTTCTTGAAGCTAGCTGTTCGAAAGAATTGCAGCTATTTTATATATAGGAAAATTCTTCTAAATCTACCTAATAATATTGATAATAATCTTTGTGGTAATCTTTTTTGTAACTTTGATTATTGTTTATCAAATACTGTTTACTTTATTTTTAATAAAGGTAAAAATAATGCGATTTGTCCGAAAAAAAATATTGTTTTAATTAAGTACAAAAAAATCATAAAGTTCTACATACAATTATAAAAAACTACTAAATCCCTCAAGTACAAAATTTAGTATAATGGTCACACCTAATAAGAAATTTTCTTTTGGCGGGAATTTCATTTTGTCAAACGACATGACTGTATGTAGTTTGTGCATAATACTTTTTAAACAAAAATGTGTCAGCTTAAAAATTATTACGTTAAATAATTACGTTTGGAATGCGTTGAGATGATGTTTTTTTAAATTGATTTCTGTATGGGAAATCAAACGGGCGACTAGTCATATCTGTTTGATATCAACGCATCATAAATATCCGGATCCTTGAGAGAACCTCCTTTTTAATACGCTTTATTTATATTTGGAGGCAGTTATAAGGTTCACTATCGGGCTTACATAACACTTTAAGTGTAATTAGGACTATACGTACGGATACTATACGAACGATCTAGGACGCCAAGAAAACTGTAATGTATTCGTAACATCGGAATAGTAATGAGTAAAATTGGTCTTGTAAAAAACCCAACACCAAGACGAAATGTGCAAGAACAAACGGAGAAATATAAACTCCGTTGCAAATAAGAGTTAAAACATTTGTCTTAACCTGAAAATGTGCTTTACGTACATCTGGGAATATTCTTTTTTTTTGTATTTCAAATTTACAATTTACTTCACCAGATTTTAATAACGAGCATTAAAAAAAATACAATTCAACAGTTTGAAAAATAGGATCTACATGAATGTTCTTGAATAATGAGTCGTTTCTATTGTTTAATAAGCAATAATTCAAGGGCATTTAAATATTTTAATATGAAAATTAATGAATACCTACTGATTCGTTTTTTCGATCGAAATAAAGTGTTATGATATAACTTATATATTTATTGTGTATAATATCCAATTTATGCCCTTAAATATGGTAATAAAATATTTGGGAAGATTACTCAAAAAAAAAACAAAGTATCAGATCAAATGAGTAAAACGAAGAATAGAAGTATTTAAGATCAATGGCCAATCTATATTTCAGAAATGATAATACAAGATTACACTTTAATAGCTTTAATTGCTACGATTCGTTAAACCTAAAAAAAACATTGTTTATTACGATTTATAATGTATTAATGAATCAAATGCAAGATTTTGATACAGCAATGCATTCGTTCCATTCCATGTTTATATAAATGTTTTTGTACAAAATAATTTAAATTTATTTCAAAATGTAAAAAATGTTGGAAGTCAATATATTTTTTTATGTTTGAGAGATTACTGGTGGCTCGGAGGCCTTTCCAGTTTTACCAGGGCAGATGGGTGAAGTCGATATAAACACACCTTTCAAGTACCAAATCAGAGATTGACAGTTTATCAGAAAAAATGTTTATTGTATGGCCATTAAATTTTTTTTTTACCTGATGTTTTCAAGGATAAAAAGAATCAACACTTCAAAAACGATGTAAAGATTTTTTTAAGGACATATTGTTATTATATTGGTGAATTTTTAAATGATAATAGTAAATGCAATTGATTAGATCTATTATTTTATGATTATGAATGTAATTAAATCCTTAATAATTATAAATTATGAATGTTATATTATAAATTGACATGTTAGCCAATTAATTTTATATTCATTTTATATTTGCACACTTTTTATTCAAGTAAGTACATGTTGGAATGTTAAAATTTTATAATACCGTTATGTATGTACCATGTCTCTGGCAAATTAATCATTAGGTATAGGTGACATTATAAGACTTACCATAGATTGGGGGGAATAGGGACTAGGGGTAGAATAGGGACATATCTGGGTTGTTTTTGTGAGATTTAAATTTGTTGAATTGAAAAGAACTTTTATTTAGTGTTTAAGAATATTAAATAGTTTAATTTAGTCATAAGAGTTTTGTAACTGATTAAAGATATTGAAAGTAATTACCTAAAGGTAACAACAGTGCCAGCCCTATCGAAAAACTATTGTCCCCATACGTGACCCTATTCACCCCAAAGCCGAGGTGAATCGGGTCGGTATTATTTACAATGAACTATGTATAATAATGCATCGTATATGAAAATTTAAACCTTCGAAACCATTTTATTGCTGAATCTACTATACTTAATACGTAAAACTAATACACATCAAATAATAATAAAACAAACATTCTATTTATCAATATTTATTTATGTATTTAATGTTTTATTTTAGATTCCTCCCGTTGATCTCTGAATGAATCTGAAAACAAAACAAAAGTTAAATTTGTGATTCGTTCTGTTATGTTATTATCCTCTACGTGCACGTGTTGGAGTCTCGGGACGCGACGCTCACCGACTTCAACACGTGCCGTTACCGTGACGAGAGGCGCACGTGTCGAGGAGCGATTTCCCAGGATCAAAAGGGTAAAATTACGATTAGAAAAATGCTTTTTCTTTCTAAATTCCATTTTTTAAATGCTTAGATGGGTGGACGAGCTCACAGCCCACCTGGTGTTAAGTGGTTACCGGACATCATAGACATCTACAACGTAAATGCGCCACCCACCTTGAGATGTGAGTTCTTAGGTCTCAGTTTAGTTACAACGGCTGCCCCACCCTTCAAACCGAAACGCATTACTGTTTCACGGTAGAAATAGACAGATACCTACCCGTGCGGACTTACAAGAGGTCCTACCAGCAGTAATTACGCAAATTATAACTTTGCGGGTTTGATTTTTATTACACGACGTTATTCCTTCATCGTGGAAGTCAATTGTGAAGATTTCTTTAGTACGTATTTCATAAGAAAAATTGGTACCCGCCTGCGGAATTTCGAACACCGGGTGCATCGCTATCTACGAATGCACCGGACGTCTTATCTTTTAGGCCACGACACGAAAAGGGCAGAAGAGTGATGATACCTTCAAGCGATGATGAGGTCGGGCTGCACGGTAGCCAGCAGGTCGGCGGCCGCGGAGACCGCCTCTCGCCACGCGTCCACCCGCGCTGCCGTCAGCACGGCGCCCGCCCCGGCCAGCGCACGCGGCCGCACCCATTGCACCGTCGCGCACGACCGCACCTGCAACAGTGAGGTAACAACACTGGTAACGACGCTGGTAGCAACACTAGTAACAACGCTGGTAACAACACTGGTAACAACGCTGGTAACAACACTGGTAACAACGCTGGTAACAATGCTTGTACTGGTGGCAGGACGGTTTGCGAGTCTGCGCAGATGTGTAACATATCACATCAGATGAAATGCAAGCTTGTCCCTTTATAAAACACATGTCATTTCAATCTACTTTGTCTGCGCTTTATAAACTAACTGCGAGATTATACATATTTCACTATTGGCCTCATATGACATCATGCCCCATGCCTAATGTTTAGTCAATACGGCAGCTTCTAAGCAAGATACCAAATTACCAGAATCTTCCCATGTAATAATGTATTTAATGTTGGCATTATGTCAATCATATATTATAATGATTTCAGAATCAAATATTGGTATTCCCACAAATAATTTAGATGTTAAAAAAGGTAATTGAAACCATAAATAATGAATGGCTCTTAGTTCAATTATAGAGAAAAACATCTCATCTAAACTAAAAATTATTTGAATATTTCTCAAACGCTTGATTGCCAGGTCTAGGATGACTAATATCTATGACAAAGGTTTTGACTAACTCGGTAACACAATTGTTAGTGCTCCTGGTTGCTGGGCCAAAGGTTGTGGGTTTGATTACTATATCAGATAACTGACTCTGTGAGGTACATGTTTGTTCGCTCTGTGTCTGAGTTGGGAAATCTATACTTAATATTATAAAGAGGAAAGATTTGTTTGTTTGTTTGTTTCGAATAGGCTCCGAAACTACTGGACCGATTTGAAAATTTCTTTTTCCATTAGAAGCCGACATTGTCCCTGATGAACATAGGCTACTTCTTTGTAATTTTTTTTAATTTTATTTTTTTGGTTTCATGTGTGTTTTAATGTTTCCGAAGCGAAGCGAGGGCGGGTCGCTAGTATGTATATATGTTTATTAATACAAGTATGACTCCATGATACAAACTGGATCACATTCACATGGTCATTGAAGAGCTATCCATTATTAATGTTTAACAAATAATTGGCATTATTAAACTAACCTGATCTATATGTCCTCTAATTAACTTTTCAGCCAAAGCCTTCATGATGAGGAGTTCGACTTCGTCGAGGGGTATTCTGGCTTCACGGGCTATCTCCTCGAACGACAGCTTCCTCTGAGATGAGGATTTATTGAAGGCCATCTGTAAGAGGCAAAATTCAGATTTACTAATATCAAGCTGTTCATAGGGATGTTACATTAATACTATTTCCCGGTAACTATAATTTTTTTAATAGTATTAAAAAATCTCCAAGTTAATACAATGGTTTACAAAATAAAAAGTGAATGAATGATATGTCATTGAAATTAAAAATGATTAACATCTCATTTTTCTCTAGCTCATGCATCACTGATGGTGATGTCATCATGTACAATAACATGTCATTATTTGTTATGCTATTCCATTTACAGACATGGCTTTTCTTTTATATCGTTAAATGAATGATAGTAACTATGGAACCTTAATCGTTTAAAATTCAAGATAATACAAAAAAATGCATCTTAGATGAATTAAAATGATTCTATTTTTATCATATTAAAGTGCATTATGTTACCATGAGACTATAATTATATCCAAAATCCCTTTCGCTAAAATGAGACTCCAAGTCAGAGTCAGTTTTCTACAAAACCTCCTCGAGATTTGAATCTGTATAATGTGGTGCATGGGGAATAAACACTAAAATGTTGCCGTCATACTGGCATACCTCCATTAAGCACAGAATCGCAATTTTCTGTCTCAGTTGCCTGTCTGCTTTGTGTAATTCGTCGCAGTTGGATTTGGCCCGGATCCTCTCGAAGGCACCAACGTCTCCAACCGATACAGCTTTGACCAGTTCACAGGCCCATTCATTGGGCGTGCCCCTCAGAGAATGAAGAATTGGGTGAGCCAACTGAAATTTTCGTTTAAATTTTTTTATTGATTTTGTCACCTAGTAATGTAAAAGCACAATGGTCAAAAATATCTCAATATTTTGTTTTTAATTTTCATGTAAACATAAATAAGCTCTCCCTAATTTTGCCACAATTTTGAGGGGATGTCGGATTTGAGTGTAACACCTATGTCAGATATACACTGTTAGATTAAGTTGGAAAAAGATGGTGCAGTCAACTTTTCTTTTGAATTACTCAACTTACCCAGTGGTGGTAATCAATATGAAATTACGCAATGTGAATGCCACCACCTTGACTTTGGGACATGAAATTCCAATTTGTATAAGGGGTTGCTATCCCACTCGTCACAGAGCGTGACTACATTGTCATAGGAAGTACAGCAAGTCCTATACTCAAATAATATTTAAAAACTGCTTTATAAGTGTTCTTACCAATTCTCCCAAATCATATACGTCCGGAGCCAGCACTCCAGAGAGAGCTAGTCTGAAGGCGATATCAGCACGTTCCGTGGCAGGTAGGGCCTCACCCCCGTCGGCGCAGCCAACGTACCGAAGCGCTGCGCGGTAGTAACGGCCAGTCGGACCACGGACTCTAAAATGAAATTGATATTAAAACCATTTTTTTTATTGCTTACATGGGTGAACGAGCTCACAGCCCACCTGGTGTGAAGTGGTTACTGAAGCCCATAGATATCTACGACGTAAATGCACCAGCTACTTTCAGATATAAGTTCTAATGTCTCAGTATAGTTACAACGGCTGCCCCACCCTTCGAGCCGAAACGCATTACTGCTTCACAGCAAAAATAGGCAGGGTGGTGGTATCTACCCGCACGGACTCACAAGAGGTCCTACCACCATTAAAACTCACAAGAGGTCCTACCACCAATACACAAAAATTTCACAATTTTTTGGGTCGCCAGCTGAAATAGGCAGCAACAGGGGGATTGAATGCATATACCACAATATCTCAGAATTGAACCAATTAATTTTGTAATCAGTTCAACAAGGTTAACAGAACAGAAACTCATTAAAAATTTAGTTTTTACCTGTAATATTCCGAGGCTAACTTATAGAATCGTCCGTGAACTGGAGTCACACCGTCAGCATCTTCGAGTGTACTTTCTAAATGTTCAATTATTTTCTCAGCTGCATCATAATCATTCAGCTGTTCAATATATATTTGTCCTTGTAGCACCTTGGAATTAAGAAATATTTAGTATTTTGACACAGGTTCTGCTCTGTACAAGACTAGTGAGTTGCAGGTTCGTCATCCGGCTGGGTCGATCTCCTGTTAGATATTATGACTCACCTTACAAAGAGCCAGTGCTTCATCATTCATTTTAACTTTCGTTTCCACCTTCTCAAGGAATGTGACAGCATCTCTCTTGTTGACATACTGTTCCACGATATGAGCAATGATCTCAACTAATGATAGGGGATTTATTCTGGAACCCATTTGAATATTATGTTACTTTAATCACCGCAGACATTTTAAAAAGTATATAATTAAACAAGAATGTTATACTGCATGGTAGACAATGGGGATATTGAAACGTTAATTATCAATCTTGAATGTTACTGCCATATTACAATATATCCAAATAAAATCAAAATGATTATATAAATGTATTTGTATATGGGCTTAAGTGTGTATATCTTATGTTATATTTGTTGCCTTTTTGTAAACCTTCTCTATTCTCTTTCTACTCATCTGTGATATCGATTGTGGAAACTTAGTTTTTGTTTACTTATTTTTCATATATTATGTGTCGGTTTGTGTTTCACACATCCCAAATATATAATCTGAATTTACTACATAATTTAGAAAAATTTTATCTGAAAAATTTGTGTGTTATCATTCACAAATGAGTATGTACAATGTCTGTAATGTTAATTCTTACAGATTCTTAGTTTAAAAAATAAAGAATATTGTGCTCTAAATATCACTGTACTATACATTCATTTAATGGATATATACATAAGATTTTCAGATATTTTACAAGCTTGAGGTTTATATGCTTCTTTGTATCCCAGAAAATATCCTTTTCTTTAATTTACGTTTAAAGCTGGTGATGTGAATTAAATATTTGATTTCAATTAAATTTTTGTTAGTGGTGACTATATGAAAATATATATGTAAAAAGGGGTTAATAATGAATCATGGTATGTTTTAGAAATGAAGAAAACGCAGTTTTGGCGTTGTCTTCTTTGCAAAAAGTCAGTAATTGTTTTCGTAAACAGTGCAGCCTTTCTTTGACATTATTTAACAGACAATCCTACTAAATAAAAAAGATATATGTAATGACTTGCAGAAGGGAACATACTTGCTTTCGAAGGTGGTCAAAAAGTTATTGTACAACTGTATGAGGTTGTCTCCCCTCTGCAGAGCCGGATTCTTGACGAATTCTTGCAGTTTTAAAGTCAGTTGGTGCCATAGTCTGGAAGAAAAACAAAGAAAGTTGTTTTCATATGAATAGATATCTTCAGTATTTTAACCAAGAAATTCGTTCGAACTTACTTTTTATTGTAAAGTTCCTCTAATTTCGCCCAGTCCGCAGCTAAAGCAGGCTCGCTAGCTTGCTTTTTAGTTAAAAAATCACTAACATCGATAACTGCAAACTTAACAGTCGCCATGTTTTCGGAACTCTGAAATTTTGAATTTGTAATGGAGTGAAGTTGTCCTTTAATCTGTGAAGTTTCTCTGTTGTCAACTTGACACTGACAAGCATTTCATTATTGTTTTTGTCGATCTTGCAAGCAAAAGCAATATAAACTACACAATCGAGTGTTTTGTTCAAAATCATCCAAACTTATTGTTAGAAAAAAGTTTTATGGAATTAAATAAAAAACTGTTGGCAAATTAATTAGATTCAATGTACTTTTCGGGGTTGACGCAAAAAGCAACGCGTATTCGATTTGAGACCATTTTTTAAACTTGAACATTTATTAAATACTAAATTTAAATTAAATTAAAAAATGTGAGCCGTCACGGGACGCCTGGCAGATGTGAAACATCGACATTATTTTTTAAAAGTAATATGCAGAAAAGAACAGATTGTGATAGGAACTAAATATGTCATAATGATAAAATAAAATATTACGAAAAAATAATTTGTTTTCAAGTAAAACACAGAGAGAATTGTACATTCGATTGCACATGGCGACGCGTCGCCACACCGTACACACTACTGCATATAGACTGTATATATACACCATCATTAGTGTGGCGACGCTTCGCCACGCCAGAAATCGATTTTACGTGCGGCTATAGATGTTTCACAAAAACATTAATTGTAATTTACTGGTGGTAGGACCTCTTGTGAGTTCGCGCGGGTAGGTACCACCGCCCTGCCTACTATTTCTACCATGAAGCAGTTATGCGTTTCGGTTTGAAGGGCGTTGAAGTTGTACTATAAAACCAAGACTTAGAATTCAAGTCTCAAGGTCAGTGGTGGTATTCACGTTGCTGATGTCTATGGGCTCCAGTGAGCGCTTAACACCAGGTGGGCCGTGGGCTAGTCTACCCATCTGAGCAAAAAAATTAAATTGTAATTAAATAAAGGCAGTTCTTGTCTGACGATCCAAGAGGAAGATTACATTAGTACGCTACAGTGATATAGAGTGAATACTAGTCGTAATAGGTATAAGTGAGTACGGCATGATATCTTAGGGTGTGGAAATATGATTCGGTTTCAAATATGGTGGGTAGAGCTAAGGAGAACCGTCTCATGAGGGAGGAAGCTTGAAAAAGTGTCCCACTTTTAGCACTAAACCACAGTTCAAAAATCTTCTAGAATGGCGTTAGCATAGGCACAGGGTATGATATGAATTGAACAATTAGTTATAATTGAAGTAGATAGTTATGCTGAGAATTTAATACATTTAATGTCTAGAGTGACAGTTAGTGACAGAGTAATATACAAAATCTCACATGTTCAGGTAGTCGAAACTAATTTCGCCATTATAACCTAAAACTATTGCTGTGGTAAAACGTGGAGAAATCGATTGCATTTTCTTATCATCTTTAAATAAAATACTTTTTGTGATTTTGTAGTGCTTACAGTTCTTCCATCCTTTTTTATTTCTCTATCTTATTCTAATAAATTTCAGCGCCTTTTTTTTAAATTAAATATACCCGGTTGCTACTGTAGCGCCACCCTTATTTAGCAGATTTTAACGGACACTTTTTACACACAGAGACGGTTCTTCTTATCTCTACCCTCCATAATTTCAGAGAACAGTTTTCATATTTGTCATTATCAGCTTATAGATGTGTACTCCCGGATACTGGCTCTGCAAGGTTCGGTACAATGATAGGTCCTTGCTGAAGCTGCATCTAGTGCAGTCCTCGTAAGGACGACCGGCCCGGCGCTGCTGCATCCAGAACATTTCTACGACCTTCAATAGGGCACCAGTCCTTACGGGAGCCCTACCGTCGCCACGTTTTCCGATACGCGGCCGTCAATCGACAAATGTTTGGTCCGAGCGACCATTATACTAGCCTCAAATATATTAAGTGTATAATCTATGATACTAGCAATGCAATGCTTACCACTTCAACCTTGCAATACTTTGGGCTATCTCAATTACCGTGCGAATCTTCTTATTGCTTACTCGATTCTTATGACTCTTTGGGTGACTTTCAGGCTTTTAATGAGACCCATTATGAGCGACTTCTCCCTACCAGTGTTATATTAGAACGTTACTAGACTTTATACAAGCATTAGATTAATTAAACGCTTGTTCTTCAGAAATAAATTTTTCACGACTCATAAAATAATCATATTTGTTGAATTCATTTATATTTTCAGAATAGCAATGAGAGATCAAGGCATATTAAATCACGGATGCGCTTCGGATTTGAGATCCGTTTGCTATTTGGCACGATAGATCGGAAGATTTTGAAACGACATCTACCGATCGGGTATATAAGTTAATAGTTGTTAATATTGACCAATAGATGGCACTTACTTGAAATTTCAATAATTTTCCAATACAATAAAACTTTTAATGAAGATTCAAATTAGCTATCTACTGAAAGTATCTTTTCTATTTGCAAAGATGATATTATATCTCAGTGTGGATGGCGACGTTATCTTTATGTACTCTGATAATCATAAGAACGTGTGCTTTTTCATCCATTAAAGTAAAGCAAATTTAATTTTTCTAAGCTACGTATAAAAATGCCATTTCTATAAAAATTTCTATTGTAATTTGTAGAACGTACTCTTTGTGGATTTTAAATAAAACAATTGTGTTTTCGTTGCTTCTGTTTATTTTTATTAACCAAGATTAATTACATATGACAAGTTTTAAAAAACAAATTTACACTAACTACACATAATATTTCAACAAGCTAGATACAGAAATATATATTTTACTTAATTTCTTCATAAAAACCGCAATTACAATTTTACAATTACAATTTTTAATTCATTGGAAAACTAGCGAATTCCATATTTATAGAGAGCTTTTAACCTCATCACTCAAATTATAGTTAATTCTAAAAACTTAACCCTTAGCTTAATTCAAAACATTCTTCTGTTACAGCTTATCTTACCTAGCAAAAAAAATACGTACAACATAATCAAATAGTGTTCTAAGTTCAAATCTGACAAGAAAAAATTAAAATACGCATACTTTGTAGAATAATTTCCCGCCACAAAGATGGCGCCTAAAATAACGATCCTTAAAACTAATTTATCGCGGGGTGAAAGGCTATTTGGTTTAAGCGACATTTCGCTTAACACGCGACATTTATCTTTGTAATTAAAGGTCCGTTTTATTTGGTATCAGCATCAACAGTTCGATGTTTCTAATTGAACTTCAATTATACCCCATTCAAACACAGCTGAAGAAAGGTTTTTTTGGTTATGATATTTTTTTTAAAACTTTACATGGTTCTAATTTTTTTTCTGTAAATTTTCAAAAGTGTTTCTTAAACCATATAACCTTTCATCTGTCGATATAATTTAGTGGTCTTGTGAGGAATGTTTCCCGCGTAGTCCAAGTCTCTTCCTGGCGGAGTCCGTTGTCATTCCGTCAGCTCGGAAAGTTAGCAGGCTATACAGTCGCACCTATGTGTTGTATTTCCGTACTATACAACCTACTACCTCAACAAGCCGACGGCAGTACCATGGTCGCCACAACGACTGCTGGATCCTTGATGACGGCTTCCCCCGGCGGATTTGGTCAGCATTACCGATTTGAGGGTACGTACATATTTTTAAGCTGTAACTTCTTTAGGCGCGTTGACATTTATTTATTTAGCTGCACCAACAAAGTGATCATCAATACCACAGACCTATTACTTCAGTGATCAATAGAAAACATGGACAAATTGAGAATAAGTACATGCATGACAGATGGCACCTCAATTACAGGTGCAATCTCGAATATATTAAGTGTATAATCTATGGATGCAATCGACAATGCAATAGTTGACAACATCATGGAAAAGTAAAAATATAATAAGTAATTTTATGAAATATGAAATCCATAATAATAATACTTAGTCACTAAGTAACAAAATACTAAATATCTACTAAAGATTAAAATTGAACTCGCGACAGATTCGTTACGGCTAGAGAGAAAAGATACAATTTAGGAGGAGCGAGAGTGAGAAAATAGACAGAGCGTCTCGCGAACCACTCGATCGTGGAGAGAGGGAGAGGACCAAACCAGCTAGGTCATTTCTCATATACACAGCATTCCCTATTACAAGAGAAATTTGATTTAAGGATGAAAAATGAAACCCACAATACTACACATCGCAAAAGAAGTTTCACTTCTTTCACGTGCACCAAATTGCACGCGCGTCAATTTTTATTTACACATATCATTATCCTGCTCCTTCTCCCAGTACCCTGGGGTCGGCGCAACATGTTCTCTCCTTCCATACTCCTCTGTCATATACCATTTCTTCGCTCATTCCCCTCTTACACATGAGTCGTCTATTATCAAAGGTGGCAATCTGTGCATTTGGACAAAAAAAAATTATTGATATGTCAATACAGATTGATTTGAATATAATCGTCTCCTTCAAAGAATACGGTTCAAAACCTGCATTAAATAAAGGTTAATAGTTAACCTGTTATTTATCTAAGATGTCGTTCCGAAGAGTTTTGTGACTGCCAATGGAATACAAAGTCAATAATTCGTTTTTCTGATTTACCAATCATTGTTCAAAAGTCAGATTGCCGGCTTTGATAATAGTCGACTCACATATCGTCTTTGACGCAATCCATCCATTTCTTCTTAGGTCTACCTCTTCCACTATATCCTTCCACATTCATAGTTAATACTCTTTTACTGACCTCACTTTCATTTCCTCTCATCACATGTCCATACCAATTTTTTGTTTACACATACCACAAAAAAAAATCATAGCTTATAATCGTTGTCCGAATGGCTTACAAATTAAATACTAAACACATTAAGTAACCGGTCTGGTAAAAAAAAGCACAATTTTTTCATCAAATGAAAACCATTTGAAAATAGATTACGTGTTATGTGATACGTAGAGAGAAGATGCATGTGACTAGGAGATGCATGGAAATGATAGTGCAAGGTAGAGGGGGAAGAGGTCGACCGGAGAAGACATGGATGGACGGCTAGTACAACGGCTGCCCCACCCTTCAAATCGAAACGCATTACTGCTTCACGGCAGAAATAGG